GAACGTACGTACCTGGCCCCGCCTACTATCCTGGGAAACGTAAAATGATTGGCTAGAAAGTGTATCACAGCTCAGGAAAAAAAAAGCACCGAAATAAAGCACCGAAATGTGCGCTGCTTTTCGGTCTGGTTACTACCGTTTATGTGCACCGGACACCGGTACCCATCCCTAGTGCTTTATGTTATGTGAAGTATGTGAAGTTGCGTGAGGTAGGTTAACTGAGGTTACTGTGAGTGTGGGCTAAAATGTAGAGAGTGGGGAAGATATGGCAAACTTGCCGCAAACACACGGCCAGCCTACATTCCAGTGTAGTTTTACATTGACCCTAATATGTCACACTTATCACATTTCTTTTTCTTTTAAATGTGCTAAAGCATGATATTACTGACAGGCTCAAACTGAAGTCTTTGTTACCAGAAAAGGTTGAAAACCTGATACTCCTGGCTCACCAGATGCACCTTTTCTTGTTTTCTCCACAGACCATCTTGATTCAGAACATCTACCGCAATCCTCAGAACAGTGCGCAGACAGCCGACGCTTCTCGCTGTAAGTGAAACTTTCATCAGCAACGTTTTCTTGCTCTGTTTCCTAAAAGCACTGGTCCAATATAAAAGCACATCCAAGGGACTGCTTCAGCCTTCTTCACTGGAGAACTTGTTCGAACCCCATTATCTCCCACGAACCCCAACACTGTTGATGTGTAATATCTAACCCTGTGGTTCCCAAACTAGGAAGGCACAGTTATGAGAGTAATGGTCCAGCAGTGCTGAATAAGATGACACATGGGTCTCTGAAGCAAAGCGTGGACAGTACAACTGCCAAAAAGACCACAAAATATACCGAGGCATATCTCATTCTCTGCTTCACCACAGTGTGTAATGAAAATGGACCACTGTGTCGTATAATGCTATGCCTCTTTTCCACTAGCACCTGCTGAACTTGGTTTCAGCTGTTTTACATTAAAACTGAGGACCACCTTAACATAGACATCGACATCGTTTTAGTAACGCGGCTCGAAACTCCCATGACGTTGTTTGCACGTGACACAAAGCAAACCTCGAGCTCCCTTCGGATTCTGTCATCAGCCATCAAACACAACAACGTCTGCCACTTAAAAAAAAAAAAAAAGTGCCTCCTAACAGGCACTACCACCTAATGGAAAACCATAAAAATATAGTCGAGTAAATTATTCCACATTAAAAAATAAATAAACATGGTTATACTCAAAATAATGTGCAGTATATTAAAATGGGTTTCAACAGGGAGAATAACAAAAGTCTGCACTTTGTTGTTCAGTCAAAACAAGTTCAAACTTTTTAAATTACGTAGGCAGTTTTTAAATTGCTGCCTTGGTGGAGGTTTGTGCTTCCTGAGTACTTGTTGCTTCTTATTTGTTATTTTCCTTTAGGTTCACATGCTTAAATTGTATTTCTGTATTGATCACTAAAAAGCTGTTTGGAGTTTGTGAGAAAAAAGTGTGTATAAGATTGCATGTGAGGGCTGGCCTTGAAAAATGTTTTTATCTACTGATGGAGGCCCTGCAGAAAAAGTTTGGGAACCACTCGCCTAATACAAACAAACAAAAAAGCATGAACACCTGCTTCTGATGCCTCTGCTTTCACGTAACTCAGAATGCAGTAAACAACCGTCTGACCAGTGACACTAAAGCAAACAGTGCTTACAAACTGTGCTGATTATGGAAGAAATGAGATCAGTAAATATGTCGAGCCCAGTCTGGCAGAGCTGAAGCAGACCCTCTCATGCAGGTAGGTTGGTAATGGAGTCATAGGCTGCCTGTGGATTGAGAATTAGCTTGTCTATTTGTCTTTGGGCTCTGTGTTCAAACTACACATCCAGCTAGCTTTGACAGGCCTGTATTTGGTTTAATGTTGATAGACTGTCTTTTAATACACAGCTACTCTGTACTTGATAAATTAAAAAAACAAATAGAAATTTGTAGTACTTGAAGTGGAGCTATTATGCTTTTTCTTATAGTCTGTTATATATGTACTTTTAAATGTTGTCCAAAGTTTCAGATAATGTGAACGTGTGAGCATATGGACAAGTAGTGCCTGTGTGCCTTCAGACTACTCTGAATGCTCAGATTCGGAGAGTTTTTTTTTATACTCTTGGTTCTGTATGATGTCATAGAGAGATGGGTATAGAAACGCCTCCCACCTGCTGCTCTCGTTATGAGAGGAAGCTGATCAGAACAGTTTGCTTAAAGAGAGGGCAACAGGAGCCAAATCAGATAGATGTAGAAAGATGGTGAAATGGGCTTTTGTGCCAAGGCATGAATCACGCAGAACTACCCTAGTAGGAACCAAAAATTAAAAATTTGGAGCTTCAAGTGAGCATAATGGGTACTTTTGGTGGATTTAGAAGTAGAATGGGAGGCAGAGCCTTCAGCTTCCAGTTTGGAATCGTGTGACAGACAGTATCTCTACTTTCCTTTTTTTTTTTTTTTTATAAGTCATTTGGTTAGGGCTGGATCAGGTGACCCTGAATCCTTCCTGAGTTATACTGCAATAGGTCTAGGCTGCTGGGGGATTCCCATGATGCATTGAGTATTTCTTCTTCTTCTTTTTTCACTCCCTATGTGTTTATACACCTCTGCATTTAATTATTAGTTATTATTAATCTCTGGCTCTCTTCCACAGCGTGTCTTTGTCCCGTCTTCACTCGCTCATCCCCAACCGGTTGCAGCAGATTGCCGCCCCTCCCTGAGCCTGGTTCTGCCGGAGGTTTCTTCCTGTTAAAAGGGAGTTTTTCCTTCCCACTGTCGCCAAAGTGCTTGCTCATAGGGGGTCGTATGATTGTTGGGGTTATTTTCTGTTTTTTTTTATTGTAGGGTCTTCACCTTACAATATAAAGCACTTTGAAGCAATCTGTTGTAATGATTGGGGGCTATATAAATAAAATTTAATTTTAATAATAGATCCACTTCAAAGAAAAATCCAAGTGAGGCTATAAATGTTTTAAAGAACAAGTTCAGATTATCCATTATTTTGAGGTGAATCTTTAATGAATGAATGAATCTTTAAGCAGTTTTCATCTAATGAATCAACTCAGAAACACTTTAAGAGAGTAACAGGTGTGATTGATGATCTGTTACCTCCAAAATTAAACTTTGAGTCAAGCAGTGTTCTTTTAGACCTTTATTAATATTACAGCCTTTTCATGATGAGCTAAAATATTCAAAAGCTACATTATACAGCGTGATTGTGCAGTCTTGCCTTTTTGTACCACAGATCTGCTATATTAAGGGGAAAAACAGCGGAGTGGTCTATTTTTTATTTTTTTATTTATTTTTTTGAGATTGTGCAAACGGGTGTAACCATCACATGATCAGCAGGAGCAATTTCACAACAGAAATTATCTAATAACATTGTTTTCCTCCCCAGCTCTGTATTCGGTTGGATTTATATCACAGCAGTTTACGTTTTGTATTTCAGACCATTTCCCTCTTGAACATTTACCTTCATAACCTTGAAAACTGCCCAGTCTGCTGATGCTTACACTGTAAGTTCTCCCTTCATCCGCAGGACCCTCCAGCACTGACTGCACTTAATTCATTATACCACACCTCCCCACATCAAATTTGGTCAAGTATAGAATTGTGTCCTCTGTACACACACACACAGAGTTTTTGGGCCTCATGCTGTTTTGCATGTTTTCCAGGCCTAAACTCCAATTAGCCCAGTCAGTGTCATGCACTGATGTGCAAAGAGCAGCTTTTCTTTCACTTCCTTCATTTTCAAGATGTGATTAAACCAAAAAGCTATAATTAAAGTACTGTTTCTGGGTTTTCTACACTTAATGTTTTCGTACTGAGTGCACAGTGATTGCTTCTGCATTACTGAAGCTGGCTTCTACTAGTGATGCCCCCGACTTAGTCAGGGGTTTGTCATTAAAATGCATATTTAATGTTAGGATCCCTGTGTACTCAGTGAACAGTTCTGTAAAGGTGGCAAAACACTGCAAGAAAAGTCATTTTAAAGTAAATCCACCAACCTGGAGAAGACTAAAGGGTTTTCTTGTTAAAGACAGTTTGTGTAGCATCTCCTTCAGAATCTTTACTTTATATTATTAACAGGGTTTAGCAAGATTTGATGTTGCTTAACATGGTCTGAGTTTTTAACCACCAGTGTCTGTCTAGCTTTGACATGACTGTCCCTTTTTGGGCGTTTTTTAGGTGCCGTCAGCGATGTGGAAATGCAGGAGCACTATGATGAGTTCTTTGAGGTGAGTGAACTTTTGTTTCTCCTTTGTGTTCCACGTGTGGCACTGTTGGACGTCATGAATGTGTTATCTGCATATTTCAGCCAAATAGAGCAACTGGGGCAAGGTGTTATTGACAGTGTATTCATGAAGCAAGGATCTTTTATTGGTTTAGAGGGGCTGGTATTTGGCTAACTAATAACCCAATAAAAACTGATTGTGAGTTTATCATGTTCATAGGTTTTGAATATGAGATTTAAAAACAGTTTTTATGATTTGTGTTGTAGAGATGATTGTTTGTAAAGGTTAATAATCCTTCTTAGTTGTTATATAACTTATTACTCACTGATTAAAAGCCACTCAGCATGACTCCACGATAATAGCATTGCTTACTACTACATATTATTTACTACACAGTTTTTACATTACCGCCGCTTTGTACTTTGGTTAGTTTGTGTGGTAGGTTTTCCTGGTTATAAGAGGTGCAATATAAGAATAGAACTGGTTTGACAGGTTTCGATTGTGCCCCCCCCCCAAATATCCAACACAGGAGGTGTTCACAGAGATGGAGGAGAAGTATGGAGAAGTGGAGGAGATGAACGTCTGTGATAACTTAGGCGACCACCTCGTCGGCAATGTCTATGTTAAGGTCTGTTTTAGGATCTTGGTTTATTTAAACGGGGTTGAATTGTTATGATGAGCTTAAACCAGTAATTTCCTAAGTATGTGTGTGTCTTTTGGGTGTAGTTTCGTCACGAGGAGGATGCAGAGAAAGCCGTTATGGACCTTAACAACCGCTGGTTCAATGGCCAGCCCATCCACGCAGAACTCTCCCCAGTCACTGACTTCAGGGAAGCCTGCTGCCGTCAGTATGAAATGGGGTGAGTATTGTGAGAAAACGTGTTAGTGTTTAATGAAAGCATTTTACTGTATTTAATTAACCAGCTGACTAATAGACTATAGCAGCGGTCTCCAACCTTTTTAGCGCCACGGACCGGTTTATGCCCGACAATATTTTCACGGACTGGCCTTTACAACAAAATAAAATTAGTACCGGTACCGAAAAAAAGAAAATGTATTCATAACACATGTGAAAAGACCCAGGAAAACCGAGTAAACGATAACAAAATAACGCTCAAAACCGATAAAAACCCTGAACATTTCACACCTGAGCCTCAACTCTCGCGGCCCGGTACCAAACGACTCACGGACCGGTACCGGTCCGAGGCCCCGGGGTTGGGGACCGCTGGACTATAGGAAGGGGAAAAAAAAGTTTTTTATCTAGAGCCAAACCACAACAACAGTTGCCCCAAGATGCTTCATATTGTAAGATAAAAACCCTATGATAATACAAGAAAACCTCTACAATTGGACAACCTCTATGAGTAAGCATTTGGTGAACGTGGGAGGGAAAACTCCCTTTTAACAGGAAGAAACCTCTGGCAGAACTGGAGGGGTGGGGCTGTAGTGAGTAAAAAAAGGAGTAGAGGTTAAACTTTCTTAAAACAAATACTGCATGTGCATTTAAGAGAATTTTGTCACTTTGTACTATGTGTAACATCGTATGCTCACAGTGTCACATTAGTTTGCTGTTAATGCTGGCACTATCGGCCTCTTTAATGCTTGAAAGGTTATATACAGGGGTGCACATAAGTGGTCTGCAGGTGCGCTGTCAAAATAAAAAACGTGCTGTGCGTTCATCATTTGTTTGAAGCCAGCTCACCTCCTGCAACCACTTTTCCAAGAATACGCACTCCTTTTGCGCTTTGGACTCCTGACATTTCTTTGGAGGTGGAGGAACACCAAAGTAATTGCTTAAAGGAGCCTGCTTCTTTGACTTCTTTAAGAGTTCTAAACAAATCTGTCCTCCTCCAGAAAATCTTATGTACGCAAACGCGTGTTGCAACTTCTTAGCTGGTGTGCGTCTTGTTTTATTTTGAAGGCGCATATACAAATACAGGCCAGGCCATTTACTTAGACAGTCTACAAGATAATGTAGACAGTGTCATCCTGCCGCTGATGGATAGATGACAGAGCCTCACTGTTCACCCTGGAGCCAATGCTTGTCTACCAATCAAGGATGCTAGCCTCAGGATGCAGCACTCGAAGCAACTGTAATGGGCCTGTCTCCCTGAGTGTAAAACAATCACATTTAACTAAAAGGACAGCATCATCTGACACGATGATGGCACAGAGCAAAGGAGAAGCGTGCACATGTAGTTACACTCTGTCCTTGGTCAGTGATAGGGTCTTTGCGATCTTTTCCTTTACAAGTCCCTCTGTGATTTTTTTTTTTTTCCATTGGATCAACGGGGTTGTTTGCTCTCCCTCAACTCTGGAGGCAGATAAAGATTAGGTGTTCTGCTTGGTGGGTTGGCAGGGCTCCTCAGAATGTGCGACTATGAGCCAACTTTTCCTCGTGGCACAGATCTACAAAATGCAAGGCCAGCAACGTTAACCCTTCACATCCTGTTTTCCTGTGTTACATACTGCCAAGCTAAGTCACATTGTTTCACACTCTAAACCGGTGACTGTTATTCATGCATTTATTACATCACATCTGGCTTTATTGTTCACTTGTTTATGCAGAAACTCTAGAATGGCGTACTCTCACATCACACAGTTGCTGATCCAGCTCCCTGATGAATCCAGGGTCCATTTTAAGATTCTGGGTTTGACTTCTAGAGCTTTTCATAGGCAAACATCAGCTTACATGAGCAAACTTTTAGATCCCTGAGTTCATGTGATCAGAGCCTGCTGGCTGAGTGTCTTGGGAACTCATCTTCTTTACGAAAACTAAAGGAGACAGTTTTGGGCCTCTGGAACACTCTCCTTCTGAGAGATCTGTGACTGGAACTTGATAATTTATATTCTGGTGTTTTGTTTGAAGCACTTTGTGATGTTTATGTAGAAAGGTGCAATAGAAATCAAACTTCACACACTTGCTTACTTACAGAGAGTGCACCCGAGGTGGCTTCTGCAACTTCATGCATCTGAAACCAATATCAAGGGAACTGAGGAGGGAGCTGTACGGCCGCCGCAGGAAAAGGTCCTGTAAAGCCCGAGAGCAAGACAACTGCTTTTGTGTATGGCTTTTAAATTTGAAAATAAATATCTTTTGCTCTCTTCTTTACCAGACACCGCTCACGCTCGCGCTCCCGGGAACGACGTTCCCGCTCCAGGGATCGACGGCGGGACCGCGAGAGGCGGAGGTCGAGGGATCGAGAACGCTCCGGAAGATTCTGAAAGTAGACGAGATGGACCCACCAAAATTCTCCCCCTAAAGCCCAACAGTGATGACAGTTATTTTGTTTTTTGTTTTTTTGTGAATTGTTGGAAGTGTTCTTTCTCTTATTCCCTTTTTTTTAAGACAAGCTTGTGCCGCTTTCTCAATAAAAAACAGATTTGTAACTGCATCTGCACCGCTTTTCTTCAAGACTCAATCCTATTCTAGGAAGGATTTTATTATGATTTATTATTACTCTGCTATATTTTTATACCAAAGCTGCTAACCAGAGACTAATTTTAAAGCTCCTTCGTAGTCTGTCAGACTGTAAACTTTCCTTCACACAGTCACTAACAGCGCACAACTGTTGCTGCATTTTTTTTCTGGTAAATGGCTGATGCAATGCTAACTAAGCAGCCTGTTCTTTTACTAGTTCCCTTTTTTGACACTTCGCTTAAATTTGATGTGATAAATATTCTGGTAGTTTAAGAAGGGGGAAAAAAACCCTCTAAATTAAGTAAGAAAAAATTACCTCCAGATAGATCTCAAATCTAAACTTATTTTGTCATAGTATTGATTGAGCAATTAAGATGGTGGGTTAAGATCCACTTAAGATGGTTTAAGTTTAATGTGCATAGTCTGGAGTTATAAAGATACAAATACTACAATAAAGTACAAATACATCAAACTTCTATGCAAATACAGTACATGTGTTGTACTTTTAAATGCTGCTTGGGAGTTGAAAAGTATTTTATTTGTATTTTTTTAAGAGAATTTATAAGTCTAGTTACGTTGTCAAAAAAATAGATTATTAAACCCTTGCTTACTTGAATTCAAATGTTAGCGAAAAAAAGACGTTCATGAGAAGCTTTCAAGTTGTTACACGCGGTGTCTACGTGCGCGGGGGTGTGTTTGGTCAGTAAAAAGTAAACAGGTGCCACGGACTACTTTACCTCAGCGTTTTTTTCCCCCTCAACCCCTTTTAAAGAAATCTCCGTACAGCCCACAAACAGACGCCCCCACCGCAGCCAATAAGAGCGTCTCCCTAAAAATTCTGCGCTCCATACAGTTTAGTCCACGTGCGTCGGCACGTTAAAGGCTTGCTTTGTCGGAAGTTGATCCCTAGGCTGTGCAGTCGTCTGCTCGTCGTACCGGAGTACAGTTTTCTCGCAGATTTCAAGATAAATCTCCAGGTGAGTGAAAATAAAGCCGCCTGACACAGAGAATGGAAACGAGGAGAAGCCGACGTATTTAAACACTCTTTTTTTTCGAATTAAATTAATTTATATTTTCCCATGGGCTGATAGAAAGCTGCCTCCAGCTCCTCAGTTCTGATGCAACATTGTAGCTGCGCAGTTCAGGCTTTTGTTGGACCTTTTCCAGCCGATGTGTTATCATTCAGGTGTTCGCATACACACTGCGGTGTCCTATATTTATTATATTAAATTATGTAAGCATTACTGGGGGGGGTTTGTTTTTATTTATTTATTTTTTTTACAATTAATCGCTTTTTTGCTTTCCCCCCCTTTTGGTTACCTTTTGTAGTTTGTCTCCTTTGTATCCCGCCACATCATCTATTATTTTCAAATGACGCAGCGTTTATTTCTATCATGCTGTTTCCGTGCTCTGGTTCGTTTTGAGCAATGCAGCCAAGTGAGATTTTTCCCCTTTTTTTGTCTTAAATCTTTTTTTCCCAGAAAATTGTGACAACCTTTTTTCTTTTTTTTTCTTTTTTTTTTTTTACTTCGATAGCCTTCAGTGTTATCGTTAAATTGTTTTATTAAAAGAGGCTAAAACAACTATTTTCCTGCGACCTACACTGTCCTATTAAAGGTTATGCATGTGGGTGAACCTTTATACGGCCTTTCTATGGCCATCATTACTGCTATTCGCATTGGCACATCATTTGTGATGGCTCAGTGGATATCTATAGTGTGCTGTTGTATTGCCAACAAGCAGATACTTCGGTTGTGTTTGTTGCTGCCAGAGCAATTAAATGCTGCAAACCATAAAGGGATGCTGCAAGTCATAGTCACCACTGGACTCCCAAGAGTGGTGAACATACCATTGGTGCTTTCCTTTTTCTTTTCTTTTTTTCCTTTTTAAAGCAGATAAACGTATGATGAGGGATTTTTCATTAGAGTGGACCGATGTTGCCAAACTCTGATTTTTTTGTGTTATGTTTCTTTAGCCTGGGAGCTTTAATTAGGGATTGGACTCTTGGCTGAAGTATGGTGTATTAAACCAAACTTAAGTTTAAGCTGGGCAAATCCTCTTTCAAGTCTTTCTTGCCCTGCAAGCCTGGCTCAGACTTGTTTTGTGTGTGTGTGTCCTCCACCAGGAGGATCATATTTCCCTGTTAAACCCTGTAAGGCCGACACATACCACACACATTTGCCAGCATCGATGTTGCAAGTGTTACTGTAATTAGCAGTGTGCCTAGCAGTGGTTGTAAGGAAAAGGTAGGGTAGGTGGTAAACACCTGTAATTGGTTTGTGCTTCTTTTTAAATTTTGATAGCAGATCAAATGCATGTATCATCGTAACGGCAACATTCCACAAAAGCGCGTGAAAGCCAGCTCCACTCCGTGTAGAGCAGGGAGCTGCAGGCTTAAGAAAATGTGTTTAGTCCACTCCTGTGGACATTGTCTGAACTCATTCTGCAGTCAAAGACAGGGGCCCCGTTGTAACAGCTGGCCCTGTCGGTGTGTGCTCTGTGTGTTAGTGAAGCCTCATGTGCTACCATTGCAGCTGGGGGATGGGAGGGAAACAACAGGATGTAGTAAGAGGAAAAAGTTGGGCTTGTAAATCTGTGGCAGTCTTAGCAACTGGTACTTATCTTACTTTATTCTGTTCTGTAGTTTTGTTGTTTAACTCATTGACTGATTGATTTAAAGTCTTAAAAAGTTATCACAGTGACAGAAAGTAGTAAGATTAAAATGTACTGAAAGTTTGAGAAGCTCTTGTTGTACTGCTCTCGTGTTTGGAGTCATATAACCGTCACATGAAATGGCAAATTATCATGTTGCAGAGGCTGTGACTGTGACTGAGGTTTGTCTTGTATTTACAAGTGAAATTTTAAAATTGTAACTTGTTTTCCAGCTAATCTTTCTTTTGTTCCTGCCAGTTTAGCCAAACTGCCACTCAGTGGTTTAGCTCTCTTCCTGGAAAGTTATTGCTGAAGTTCATGTCAGGTATTTCACCTCGTGCTTAATTACCCAGCTTATTTGTCAAATTAATGATCAAAGACTGGATTTAAAGCTTCCCTTTGATCTCATCAGACTCTTAAACACCCGACTCAGATTTAAGGTAATGCTTAACATTTGGTTAGCCATTAGTAGCATTTATAACCAGTTATAACTGATTACAAAATCTTTTTATGGTTTAGATTAACTACATTTACAAACAATGAGAAAAGCAGTAATTTTCTTTTCTGTAGATCCTCAAAACGGATGCTTGCCTGTCGGTGTTGTGTGTCTAAATCTTGACTCATATCTTGATATGTGGGAACAGCAATCAGTCTTATGATTTATAAAAACAATACTGCTTACCAACCCCCTAAAAAGAAGCTTTTGTTTTTTCCTGTGGAGAAGAAATGATGAAATATTAACTGAAGTTTTATCAGCCCCACCCCCCCTTGCTTACTCCCACTTTTGCTTTCTCACGTAGCTTTGATAAGGGCAGAATTTGGCCACTCGTCATGACTAGGCTAAACTAGACTAGACTGAAAAGCGGTGGTAGATGGAGATGAGCTGTGGATTTGTTTTAGCAGTGCAGATGTCACTCAGCATTAATAAAAGAAAGGAGTGGTTCAGTGTTTGCTTTGCACTGTGTTTGCTGATTGGTGAAGTTGAATGTAAGCTTTAACAGATTGTCCTTTAGCTCACATTTGTCATCTCTTGGAATTTTTTTCAGGTTATCTTATTTACAATAAAAATAGCCCTTTTATATTGTACGGTAAAGATGCTACAATAATAGAGAGAAACCCTAACAGTCAGACACACCCCGTGATCACGTAATTTGTGACAGTGGTGAAGAAAAACTCCTTCCTTAACAGGAAGAAAGCTCTGGCAGAATTTAAAATTAGAGAGGGTCCTTCCCAAAGCTGGTTCCACAGCTGTGGATAATCAGTCCAGCACTTGTGACTGAAGTATCTCAACTTTAAGTTGGGTTGCCATAAAATTGTACATCAAACTTGTCCAAATATCCAACAAGAAACCCATCCAAATTTTAGCATTACCATGCATTCATGCGGTTCTTGGATGGTCGGATTTCCTTCATTTGGAAATCGTTCCACTTACAAACATGACACATTGGATTTTATTGCTCAGAGGGTTTAAACTGCACTTTAATAGTTATTTCTGTAAGATACACCTCAGTTGTCGGAACTATTGGTGATAACTTTTCTAAAAAGTAATCGAGGTCACACAAAGAAAGTGATTGAGCCCATCTCCTTGGTATATACTCACAGGGTTGAATATTTTGAGCCCAAATGAGCAGTAGAAACTGGAGCTATTTAGTTAATAATAGAGAAATGCATCATGCCTTTGATGCAGGTTGCAGAGAAGGAGACTACTGCTTGTGTCAGTCAAAAACAACATTATGAAAGTATTTAATTTCCTGGCTGTCAGCCAAGTCACTGATGATGCAGGAAAACTTATCAGAACATGCTGTAAGAACAGTGTGTTACATAATTGGATAACTTTACAGTTGTTTTTTTTTTTGTTGTTTTTTTTTTTCCCCCTAAGTTAAGCAATGCCATCAGTTCCCTCATCCAAAGAGACCACAGTCAACAGCCCTGTGTGCCCACACGCTGGCAAGCTGCACGGCTTCAGCAACGGAGAGAACCTGAAGACGGAGGAGGAGTCGCAGGAGGCAGCCAGAAACATTCAGATCAAAACAAAGAACTCTTCTCCCGAAAGGAAATGGATCCGGCCCGACCTTCCCAGCCGCTGCACGTGGAGCCTAGAAGCCTCAAAATCCGACTCCCCCCACACTCAAGTTTCAAGGTCAGCGTGCCAGTCAGATATCCACTGCTTCTTGCATCTCAGCACTGTTGTATTGATCTGCTGTTACAAATAAAAAAACTGTCGTAAAGGCGTTACACTATTTGTTTAAAGCTCTGAAAAAGAGGCTGGTATTTTTGTTGTTGTTTAGACTTCTCAGACCAGTGAAGTGAGTGGAAATGGGTGCTATTATCTCACACTAGTGATAGCAATAAAAGACAGTCTGAGCCTGATAAAGAAGTGATTACCATCCAGTCTATCTGCACAGCCAGACGTGGCGCTTCTGTTTATCATCTCGCTGAGGTTTCTTCTTCTTTTTTTCCCCTTCTCCTCTCAGGACTGTTGCACCAGCCATTCTCCCCAACATCCTGAACAAAATCGGTGACACTCCAATGGTACGCATCAACAACATCCCCAAAGCCTTTGGACTCAAATGTGAAATATGTGAGTCACACCACATTCAAGCCGAGACACATTCAGAAGTTGGTTACGGTCTGCCTGGTTACTGTGCAAACTTGTGAGCGCTGGTTGGGGTGTGAGCGTTTCTTCAGACCACAATTGTATCTTAATTGTTTCATTTGGCTCCTGTGATTTTTAATATGTTATTGTGACACTTTTTTTGGTGTAGTGGCCAAGTGCGAGTTCTTCAATGCGGGCGGCAGCGTCAAGGACAGAATCAGTCTGCGGATGGTGGAGGACGCTGAGAGAGCCGGGATCCTCAAGCCAGGAGACACCATCATAGAGCCCACCTCTGGAAACACTGGTAATCCCCTGCATGCGCCTGTGCTGGTGTGAAAAAATACACGAAAGCCTGTGCTGATAATGCCACTCAAATCTGCTTCTTTCTTTTGTTCCTTAAGGTATCGGACTCGCTCTGGCTGCTGCAGTGAAAGGCTACCGTTGCATCATTGTCATGCCAGAGAAGATGAGCATGGAGAAGGTGAATTTCCTGTCATATAGAAACCACAACTCACAGAAACACGGCAGTTTTTTTTTTTTTTCTGTCAGAGTAAAACATGTCTAGACTGCTACAGCTAAATTGAAGGGTAGGATTTCCTGATAGAAAAGTGCGGTTTCTGTTCAGAGGGGCTTTTCCTGAAAATGTTGCGACTAAGTATGCAAATCGCAGCCTGTTATAGAGGCAGAGGTCACGCTTTAGCATTGCTGTTGCATCATATGATGCAATCTTTAAATGCTGTGCAAAAATATAAATCTAGTTTACATTTGTACAAAATGTTCAAAGTTTTTGTTTGAGGTCTATATTATATCTTATCTTGTTTTTTTTTATTTTTTTAAATAATCATATATCTTATGTTTTGTTTCTAAAGGGATTTTAATAATATTTTCTGATTATTTGTTCCTTTTTTTTGTTCCTTTTTTTGAACATTACAACAAGCTCAGTATTCCTTTTAATTTCTTTTTTTAATGAATTTATTTTATTAATTTATTCATTTTTTTTCAAGCTGTTTTTCCACAGTAGCTTTCATTAAATTACATTAAAATAAAAACATTAGTACCCTTTTAAAAAGACTACTGTTCTTCAAGTATGCTGCATATCTATTAATTCTAATGAATCTTGAATGTTTTAAAGAACAAATTCCTGTCGGTGTTTCTCACTGCAGTCAGGCCATCGTGTACAAGTGTTAATATTTGTCAGCTGTTCTCGACAGGTGGATGTCTTGAGAGCACTCGGAGCAGAGATCGTACGTACGCCCACCAGCGCCCGTTTTGATTCGCCAGAGTCTCACGTGGGCGTGGCCTGGCGCCTTAAGAACGAGATCCCCAACTCGCACATCCTGGACCAGTACCGCAACCCGAGCAATCCCCTGGCTCACTACGACACCACAGCCGAGGAGATCCTGGAGCAGTGTGAAGGTACGAGCATCCTGAGCTGTAAAATTTACAGAAACTTCTTCAACGGCATTATTGCTTTTTCCTTAAAACTCACTTTAGAAGTTCACTGGAAATCAAGTCAACAAGGTTGTTTGTCTCTTCTGTGTTTCTGCTGACAGGTAAGGTGGACATGCTGGTGGCTGGTGCAGGCACAGGAGGGACGATCACAGGCATCGCCCGCAAGCTGAAGGAAAGATGCCCAAATATCAAAGTAAGCTCTTTCTTGAGATTATGTTTCTCCTCTTTTTTTCAGATAAATATCTGCTGAGCTACTTGTAGCTTATAAATGGTGTGTTTTGTGTGCAGATTGTTGGTGTTGATCCTGAAGGTTCAATCCTGGCTGAGCCAGAGGAGCTTAACAAGACCGATAAGACCCAGTACGAGGTGGAGGGCATCGGGTACGACTTCATCCCCACCGTCCTCGACAGATCGGTTGGTTCAAGCGGCGTCTATAATCCCATCTCCTTTTCATGACTGCTCCTAAGTGAGCATGGTAATGTCGTATGTTTAATATTACTTTTTTTTTTTTTTTCTTCCCCCGTCAACATTTCCAGGTGGTCGATACGTGGTACAAGTCCAACGATGAGGAGTCCTTCAACATGTCTCGTTTGCTGATCAGAGAGGAAGGCCTGCTGTGCGGTAAGTCTTTGTGGTTCCTGGTTTAGGTAGGCTCTTCTACCCCAGGACTTATTATTTTTTAATTTTTTTAGTGGCCAACACACAGCACTTATTTCAGGGCCTGTTCTGAGGTAGTGACTTGTGATTGGCCTTGAAAAACAATATGGAGCTTTATGCTGATTGGTTCGATTCATTCATTTTTTGATTTATCCTACCACTGATGGTCACAAGAGACTTTGCTTCAACCAGTACAGGCAGGAGGTGGAACTAAAATGTTTTTCATAGTTTCACTCTGGTTAGTTTCTAAAGCTCTGAAACTCCTCCAGAGCCCAGTAGATCACCACAGGAAGGTGCTCCTTATAAACAAACGGCAGAATTCATCCTATTCGAGGGGACGTGGGTGTGAATGGTTACTGACTGGCATACAAGACAACAGAAGAAGCACAAAGCCTCCAGGAATACTTTTGCTCCCAGGGAAAAGCTTCATGAGGAAGATGTTGTGGGTACCTGGGTGCCACTTAAGGCAAACTAACCTACGGGCGATCGTGGCTCAAGACTTGGAAGTTCTCCTTGTGATAGGAAGGTTGCCAGTAAGAGCCCCGGCTTGGATAGTCTTGGCTGTTGTGTCCTTGGGCAAGACGCTTGACCCTGCTGGTGGTGGTCAGAGTGACAAGCAGCCTCGCCTCTGTCAGTGCACTCCAGGGTGGTTGTGGCTACAATGTAAAGCGCTTTGGGGTCCTTATGGACTAGTAAAGCGCTATACAAATACAGGCCATTTACCATTTTGCTTTTTCCTGTAACAGGAGGCAGCTCGGGGACGGCCATGGCAGCAGCTGTGCATGCCGCCAAGGAGCTGAAAGAGGGCCAGCGCTGTGTGGTGATCCTGCCGGACTCCATCCGCAACTACATGTGAGTTTCCATATGTGTTTGTGCTAGAGGTCCTTCAGATATATGCAGACAATTTGTTTGCTTTCTTTGTGTAAACACAGATCAGTCTTTTCTTTATCTTTTCTTCTTTACCCCCCTCAAGGTCAAAGTTCCTGAGTGATAAGTGGATGGTCCAGAAGGGCTTTTTGAGGGAGGAGGACCTCATGGTGAAGAAACCATGGTGCGTGTCATTTAAAAAGACCAAATCTCCAGTTTTTAAGTCTCTCTCTATGTACGCTCATTAAACATGCCGTGTTCTCACAGGTGGTGGAACTTGAAGCTGCAGTGCCTGAACATGTCTGCCCCGCTCACTGTCCTGCCTACCGTTAGCTGCCAAAAGACCATCCAGATCCTCAAGCATAATGGCTTCGACCAGGCGCCGGTGGTCGATGACACAGGGTGGGTGTGCTATAGGTAGAAAGATTAGCTTTACAACAGAAAAGCACAGAATATTAGATCTTCACACATTCCTGGAAGCTGTGTTTTAGACCCTGAAAACCTTATCCTTGACTAACCTTTAACTTCACTTCTTGTTTATGTTTTTGTGTGTAGATTGATCCTGGGCATGGTGACTCTAGGCAACATGCTATCTTCGATCCTTGCAGGGAAGATCAACTTGTCAGATCCTGTCAGCAAAGTGCTTTACAAGCAGTTCAAACAGGTTAGTTTGGTTGGAAATTTAATGGATTTTAAAGACTACTCTTTTGATTCTGATTGGCTGAGGATGATCTCCAGGTAGGGAGAAAAAAAAAGATTGTAAACTTGCTGAACTAGAAAATTGGGGTTTGAAATAAGACTTGTTTTTAGTGCTAAAAAGACAAATTTGTGTTCTGTTCTGTTCCATTTCTTTGTGTATACAGAACGTTTTACTGTGACAGATGTTGTGACAGCTGTGTATATATCTATATATTTCTATGTATCTTTATATCTTCAGCACATCCTCTTATTTTAATTCAGATCACACTGACTGACAACTTGGGAAAGTTGTCCTCGATTTTGGAGATTGACCACTTCGCACTGGTGGTACACGAACAGATCCAATGTGAGTACAGCAATGCACACACACTGCCAGAAGTTTGTGCTGTGGCTGGTTGAGCTGCTGTTGTCTGTGGATATAAGTCTTGACCATCTGTGCGTTTAAACTATGACCAGGGGTTAGTGATTCAATGTGTAAAAACATTGAGTTTGTGTATTTGCAAGAACCACATCTTTAACAGCTCTGTGAGCTCAGTATATCCGCTTCCTGCTGCTCCTTGCTTGAGTATAGATGCACAAGCTCAGTGTGAGAATCTGGGGGCAGGCTTTAGATGACCTTGACCGTCCAAGTAGAGACAATTTAGCAAACAGCAAGCTTTGTCAAGGTTACATTTAAGCAGGCTTTTTTTTTTTCTTCAGTATTGAAATCCAAAATGTGCAGGCTGAGAAGGAATCTTCAATCTTTATCTTTTTCCTTTGGCTGCACCCATTAAAAGTGGCCCTACACCTAACATCCTCCTTTGTCACACCAACCCTTTGAAGGGTGTAGTGAAATAGGATAAGCAATCTTTTCTGTGGTCTTCCTCTTTTCCTCCTGCACAGCAGCTTCATAATAAAACCAATTCTGCATCTTTAAATTGATCAAAGATGGACAAACAGACCTATCAATCAAACTTGCACTGTGCAACTTTTATCATCCCCATATGGCTGTCGGAGTGGTTACACAGACCAAGTAGGCATTAATTTAAAAAGGTTGAACTGTAAAATACAGTATACCTGCCACTGATCGTAATCAGCTTTAGATGGCGAGTAAGGCGCACAATGTGGTGTGATCAGCTACATTTATTTATTTCCCCCCCCACCCCCCCACCCCCCACCCCATACTGCACATTCTGGCATGAGCACTCCCTGTTGCTGGTAAAATGGAGCTCTGACAGCAATAAATAAACTCCAGAAAGGTGGCAGCTACTGTTACGTGTCAGCTGATACACATGTGTAAGTGTAATATTGCTGATGTTGAACCTAACTGACATATCACGTGCATATTTAGAATACTGCATGTGTCTCATTTACATTCGTATACTGACAATAGTATGTGACCACGCTGCATAGTGGATCCTCAGCATCAAATGGCTAAGGGACATGACTGTCCATTTGGCAGCTAAAGAGACAACTTCAACAGAATATTGAAAAGTTTAAAGAGCCCACTTGGCTTGTTCCACTGCCCCCTAGTGGCCAGAGTCCTACATTAGTTGTAGGAATTATTATTATTGTTGTTGTTGTTGTTGTTGTTGTTGTTGTTGTTGTTGTTGTTTGTTTGTTTTTTAAGTTTTTAGTGGAAGCACTGCAACACTTTGATAGTTGAGTTAAAACCTTTAGACTAATAATCTCTCTGATACTATCTTTTCTACTCCTTGTCCTCCACCAGACTTGACTGATGGCTCTCATAGCAAAAAGCAGATGGTTTTCGGGGTGGTGACAGCTGTCGACCTGCTCAACTTCGTCACAGCCCGGAAGAGGCAGGAGCGCTCCATGTCAGAATCCACCGATGAGCTGAATTAAAAGCAAAGACACTACAAGCCTTTACATTTCTTACTTTAGAATGACAAACACATTGACATTTAGTTTAGTGTCTTAAAGATGGCAGAAAGTTTTTTTTAGAAGTTTTGGTTTGAGTTTGGCTCTTATTTCTCTCTTTTTGAATCATTTTTGTATGTTTGACCTTGAGTCTTGAAGTGTAATAAGCAGAATACTTTGTTCTACTGTCAGCTTATGATGGGGGTTGTTATTATTGCTCAAGCCTGTAGTGCTCGAATCTTTTATAAGTTTTGTTACAGTGTGTAGACTTTTATTGTTTTGTATCGGACTTGAAGAGAGGCTGCGAGGAAAGTAAATGATTACATCATCACTTTGGCTTTGTATACCAGACAGGAATACAAAAGTCACATTCAATTCATTTATTATGGGAGTTGCTGTGTGTATGTGTAAAATATGCATATTATATTTTCATTATTGCTCGCTGTATGCTGATTTCATGATTGTGTGTACACAGAATAATCCATGTCAGGTAATGTGAAATCTGAATATAATCATGGTGTTATTCAAGTGTAAAGTAGTCTGGACTACTTAATCTTTGCAGTGTCTAGGAGAAAATATTTTTCTATGGCATCATTTTTCCTTAATGGATGTATAAGGCTAAATAAAAATTACACTCTGTAGCAGTGTGGCTTCTTTTTTCCCTTTGTCACAATTTGAGGAAAAAAATATTCAGAAACAAAAAAGATGCTTAGGGAAACTTAGGAATGAGGTTAGGTAGGTTGTACTTACTTTGCCTTCAGAACTGCCTTAATTCTTCACAGCATAGATTCAGCAAGGTGTTGGAAACTTTCCTCAGAGATTTTGGTTCAGGTTGACATGATGACACCACACAGTTGCTACAGATTTTTCGCCTGTACATCCATGACTGGACTCTTGTTCCACCACATCCCAAAGTTCAGAATCAGAATCATGTTTATTGGCCAAGTATATGTGCAGACACATACAGGGAATTTGGTTCCGGTAGATGGTGGCTCTCAAGCAAAGCAATGTAAATCACACACACACACACGTGTCTATATATACACATTACACATACATACACAAAGCTGTGTAAACCAACTATAAATAACAAATCTAAACTTATACACATAAAATACAGAAATGAATGAGGTGGAATGAATACTACAAAATGTACATAAGGTGCAGCTGCAGTCTGGCAGTGGGAGCAGTGTGACAGGTCAACTGTTAAGAAGGGAGATGGCGAGGGGAAAGAAACTGTTCCGTGCCGGGTGGTCCTGGTCTGCAGGCTTCTGTACCGTCTGTCAGAGGGCAGTAGATCAAAAAGTCTGTGTCCAGGGTGTGAGGGGTCTGTGATGATTTTCCCTGCCCGTTTCCTGGTTCTTGAGAGGTACAGATCCTGGATGGAGGGCAGGGG